TCTAGTCGTGTCCTCTTTTGGAAGACCAAACAAAGTAGTTTCGCTTTCACAACGAAAAACACAGTGGCCTAGCGGAAGCCCCGGCTTAGCGTGAGCTGAGGCCGGGCTAGAGTAAGCTGAGGCGGCGGGGTCGAGAACAGCGCGGCCGGTGGATCTGACGAAGGAGCGGCAAGCACATGTGATGACCCCGGGCTTCGTCCACGGTGAAAGCCGATCCGGCGATCCACAGCACTAAGTTGATGTATTCCCTCAGTGACCAGCACAGATCAGCTCCAGGCATGACGAAGCGGATATCGTCCTCTTTTGGAAGACCAAACAGTAGTTTCGCTTTCACAACGAAGCACACAGCGTCTTCAGGACATGGCGGCAGCAGCAACAATACTACAGTGAGAATAAAAGTTACGCCTTCTTTCTTTGCGTGAACATTTGGGCGGCGTTATGCAAATCTTCCCACATAGTGAGGTAGATATGTGGGGGCGTGTTAGAACGAGCCGTTTTAGGTAGGCGTGGTTGACTCTTAACTTTTATAAAGAATATCTCTTTGGATTTGAGACTTTAGTCTTAGCAACTTTACAGATCTTCTTTATGCACCAAGAGCTTGTAACACTCCAAAGAGAAAGGAAAAATTGAAATCGCATCATATGACCCCTTTAAATCTGCAGACTGGCTCTGACTCTCGGCTACTAGCTAACTTCTGTAGAATGTAAATCGGGGCAAAAATCGTGTTGTGTATTTCAGCCTTTAATGTCAGTCAACAGCACTTGGAGCATAATGTTGGTTTCCACCAAAAATATTTTCTACTTTTTCAAAAACGGCAACAATCTGGGTTACAGTGAAGTAATGAGGCCAATTCGTAAACATTAAAATACTTACTGTTTAACATGATTTTAGCTTGAAAACTTTTCTTTAGCATTTTCTTTACAACTTTACAACTTCAAATTATTAGAACAACTTCACAGCTCAAATAATATGCCAGCTTTAACAGATGCATTAATGTAAGCGCTTTTTTAAAAAACCCGGCACATTTCTGCTTTTTAATTCTTCAGAAAGTTACATCATTCACTTTTAATTTACGTGTCTCACCGTAGCATTGGTTTTTGCATTTTTCAAGTGTCAAAATTAGTTTTTGTGGCAACATTACGCCATAAATGTTAATTGAACTTAACCTGTGAATTGTATTGAACCTGGAATATTCCTTTAATGGCAGAAAGGGCACTGATCTATGATCATTGTGTTTCTTATATGTGAGATCACATGGACGAGAGAGCTGATCCTAGATCAGCATTCTTACTGTGGAAAGCCGTAAGCCTAGAGCTCCTGATGCCCACTACAATCTACAATCTCTTTATGCTCTCTTGATATACTGTAATGTATTTTCCTGCATGGCCATCATTCAAGGAGTTGGACCACATGTACATTCACTGCCCCAGTCACTGAAGTTCTGCCCCTCTTTACAATGATCCAAGCCATGGAGAGGATTCATACATACCTACTAGGCTAGCCTTATAAATGAAACACCCTATCCCTTAATCGCTTAGCAAATCCAAATTGATTCTCAATGGAGCCGCCTATGTTATAGCTGTGATGTGTTATATCACTTGACTGCAAAATCCAAGGAGTTTGCATGATGTGTGTATGTAGCCTATGTACATGTGTGATATCTGTTGACAGTGAGTTCAGAAGGACAGGCTTGGTTGGTTATAGGATTGACAAGCCCTTGACTCTTCACTGCCACAGATGTAGTTGTTGTAATATCTTGTCGCCTTCACTAGGTGGCGCTCAAATACTATTCACTGTGAAAACTGGTGACTACACCTTTACTATGTCTGTGTACATGTCTATCGTGCACTTATTCTTCTAGACCACACTAATACGAAGCGCCCTCATCCCTGATGCATAAATACCATCAGATTCGTGATTTATTACATGCGTTATGCAACCCTGTCTTTTTAGCACATATTGCCTATGCTGATATGCTTAAAAAGTGTCTTGTAATATGTACAGCTATATAGTATACTAATTACCATGTAAAGACAATGTATGCCTTTAATTGTGATATCTTTTTTCTTGTACTTGTAAAAAAAATGCAATGATTTCATTTGAAGCATGTATGAATTTTGGGGTTCCTGACAAGATGAGCATGATCTTCTAACTATTAAATATTACGAAGGCGAAACAGTTGTTTATGAAATTAACTGTTGTAGTTACAACACATCAGGGTATTTGAACACTATCAAATATAACTGTTGTGTTGAAAGGATCTCATACTCATCTGATGCCCAAATAAACAACTGTAACTCAAGCTGTCTTTACCCTGACACACCAATTATAGATTTTGGACTGGTTTTGTTGCCCAAATATATAGGAATTGAATGTATTTTACAAATAACATCTCTTCATTTTGTTCTTTTGGTCTACATTATTCACTTGTTGGTTGTAAATAAGAGATCTAAAAGTTCACTCCAAAAAAATAAGAATGTTGTTGTCATCATATATCACTGATCCTCATCATACCCTTTTTAAAGAATGGAATTTACATTTCTTTGTATAAAGAATTCAGAATCTATTTTCATCATGAATCATGTTTTGTGCATCAGCATGTTCTTCTGCTGTCAGTCATAAATCCTATTGTTAAAAAACCCTAAACTTTTTCGGGGGTTCATTTTTTCTTTTTTTTTTTTTTTTTTTTTTGTCATTCTCAGTTGTGTCCTTTTTAAATTACCTCTAAAGATAGATAGCAAAGGCAAAAACATTTGTCAACTTCATTGTTGTGGGTACTAGTGACCAACCTGGTGAGTTGCTGGACTGCTGCATTGGGTGTGTCTTCTGAACTATGGGCCTTCCTTTGATTGAAACGAAAGATTTTGGCAACTCATTTCCAGCAGTGGATAAAGCAATCACTAAAATAATACATTCATTACTGTATGAATCAGTGATCTTTTTATTGTTTATATATACACAGAAAATAATCACATTTAAACCAACTCAGCTGAAACCCCCCTCAAACCTCATACAGCCTGTTGACTAAAGAGTTTGCACATCCTCTCTCCTCGAAGTGGGATTTTTGGAACCCTTCATTCTTCCTCCTATCTTTTTTTTTTTTTTTTTAAAGATTAACTGAAGTTCCTGGGAGGAGAGATGATGCAATGTCAGTATTTGGGTGGGTAACAGACATTTTAAGTTACTCCTCTTTAAACAGAATAGTTCAAGACGAGAGAAGAAAGAGAGACGAGCAAGAGGGGCTTATAAAAGGATATTGTGAGGCTTTGTTCTCGAAAACCAACAAAGGAAAATTAAACAAAGAACATATCAAACAATGAAACAGAGGTCTTCCGCATTAGTGGTGAGTAATTCTTTTTGTCATGTTTTTCAGCTGCTTCATTTCTATATTCAGAAAATATATTGATTTATTTAGATTCCTTACACTTTTTTCTAACTCGTTTTTGAACAAGCTTTCATGCTACGATGAAAGAACTTGGCCAGTTTTAAAACATTTACATTTTATTAATTAAAACAAATTTATATATATATATTATACAGTATTTAATATATATATATAGAGAGAGAGAAATAAGGAATTCAACTTTGCATACCATTACAAAAAACTACCATAGTAGCCTTTATGTTATTTGATGGTAAAACCATGGTAGCCTACTTTAAAATATATGCCATGGTCCTGAATGTTTACCATATTCAAATACCAATTAAAGTTTGCACAGAGAGAAGCATAATGTCCCACATCAATATGTACCATATCAAAAGCATGTTAATACCTTGAAACTTTGATATATACCATTTAGCATATTCAAGCATCATTCACTCAGAGAAAATGGTATGATGTCAAAAATATGGTAATACCATGAGACTTTTAGGTGAGGACAAAACAAAGTAGATATTTGATCACAGCAGGCAGACCCAATCTGCACAGCAGAGCTCATATAACCTCTGTAACTCTAAACTGGGGCTGATAAATGCATATCTCAGTGCTGAGAGCATAGTGAATGAGAAGGCCCCGCCCCAGCTACACAATCTCTGTATCTATTGACGACAGTAGCGCACAGCTGCCTACGTAGAGCTGGACAGATCAAGTGTACTCGGCGCTGTTCATTTGACCTGCGTCCGGGCAAATTACTTTCAGTTGATATTGGGATTCTTTCAGAGCAGCATTCGCAGGGAGGAAAATACATAGTTTCCATCGGAACACGGATTTCGGATCATCGTTTTCGACGCGCTGAAAAAAAAAGTTTGGATTGTGTAATTATTGGAGCGAGTTTTCAGACTTCATGATGAGTGCTGTTGTGGCCACTGAGGGCCTGTTCTTTTCCGCCTTGCAGCCCAGCACCTCGGTCACCACATATGCGATCCCAACCGATGACCATCCCAGGAGGGATCTGCTATCTAAAGCCAGGCGCGTCCAGCAGCAGGTCCAGCAGCGCATGGCGGAGAAGCCCTCATCCTCATCCCGACTCAACGCCTCCACAGGTGAATAGAACCTGTTGATGATCCGTTAACCGGGAAACTCTTTACGCCATGTAGGCTACAATTTTCTAGAACTTAAAAATAAGTTTTTAGTAAACTTTTTAAATTTTAAGTCAATTACAATGTACAATTTGACACATATTTCAGGTTACATAGTAAATTAGAATATACAAAATGTTAATGTTAAGAGATTTTTTCCCCATTCCCCTAAAAAGGTTATAAATAGCTTACAAATTGATGTTTAAATAAGTAAAACAACCATTACATTTTTATAAACAGAGTAAATAAATGTAAACTTTTTTGTTAACTCTTTAATACATTTTTCCAAATTTTTGTGTTTTCAAATGTTAAATTTGCCCAAATTCTTTTTTTTTTTTTTTTTAAATAGAAATAGAAAGCCAAGGCTTATCAAACCAATAGTTATTTAAATACACAATAAAATGAACACTATCATATGTCTAATTCTATTATATATTGTTAAGTTTAAGTAAGCAATCTGTCAGAAATGTATAAGCAGAACATTTCTACAATAGCCGAGATTGTGAACACAATAGCTCTGCGTGGACTTTGGGTGACACTGATAGGATTTGTTTTGCATCAGAATGCAAATATCTGTTTGGTCTTCATGTTTTGGTTACAGATCTTGCATTTCCTACAGGCGCACACTGGTTTTCCAGCATGCTTGTTTTGTTACTTTGTTAATAAGAGACAAAAAAAAAAAAGACTTTTGTGTGTGTGTTCAAGTGGTCATTTCATTCGTTTTGTTTTGCATATGGTTGGATTCTGCTGCTGGGAACCCCCTAAAACAGGACACTGTAATTTGGAACAACTGATATCCTGACACTTTCCTGAAAACTGGACAATCATGTTGGCCCTCATATGAATGAAGTTAAACTTGTAAACATTACATAAGCTCATATGAATGGAAAACTGGACCACTGTTCTATAATGAAACCTTGACAAAATATATAGATGCTTTCAAATGCAAATGTGTAAAATGGATCACTCAGCACATGTGATTTAGAGATGTATGCCATTGTGAGCAGTGTGTGTGTGTATGTTTGTGGAGGAGGAGTGTAGATAACCCGTGGGAAAGGTACCACTTTCTTCCCTGGCTTAGAAAGGCAGGTAGAAATGAGGGCAAACCTTACCTCCCCAACACCCCATCCTCACTGCCCCGTATAAATACAGCTTTCTCTTGTCAAGAAGGTGGCTGAAATATAACTTTACTAATGCTTGACAGAAGCACTTAAGTCAAACATTATATTAAAAATTACAAATTAACAGGAATAGGAACCTTAGAAACTTAGCTAGTAGTATAGTATCGTACATCTAGATGTATACAGATCGCATGAAAGTTAGCAAAGTATGTTTCTTTCTTAATATTTCACTAAAGTTGTGATTGCAAATCAAAGTCTGATTAATATGAATAGAAACAACGATCCTAGCATTTGATAAAATCTGCCAGGAACTATAGCTTTTGGGATGCCTGTCAGCAAGAGGAATGTTAGGCATTTAACCACTGACCCTATTGTTGACCCTAATAACAATAAGTGACTTGGAGAACTGCATCTGGTCTATGTTAGAGCGCAGTTTGGACATGACCTTTTAAAAAGAAGACAAAATGACCCAGCTGCTTATATATAATGTTTCAGAAAACATTTTATTTATATATGTATGTATGCATATATATGTATATATATATATATATATATAGTTTTCTAAGAACTGTTTGCTGAAAGGCAGAATGGTTCTTCTGTGGCATCACTGCGAAAACCTTGGAACCATTATTATTATATGTTTTTTTTTTCAACTACAACTTTCTATAGAAAAAATATACTGAAGAATAAGTCAATATATATGCAACTGCGCTCGTGTGGTGGCGTTAAGTCCAACTTGATAGAATGTACAGAGGCAGTTGTCCGGGTAGTGCGTGAGGTGAGCCAGGGACAGAAAGTCATCCGTGTGGTCCTCCAGCAGGAGGATTTGGAAGGCGGGATAATCCATAACACGAAAAATAAAAACTGACAAAAACCGGAAAAATAAACGAGGGGAAAGACGCCGCTATACTTTACTTTTGGGTCGGTTATTCTGTCACGGTCACTGTGTGTGGAGGCAGGC